AAAAAAAAAAAAATAGGGCTACAAAGTACTGATATTTCAGGAAACATGCACATCTACTTTTTCCAGTTGGGTTGAAGTAGGCCCTAACTTGCTCAGAGGCAGCCATTGTTATTTCATAAATACAGTGAAAACAATGTTTTCTATGACGTTATAAAATGAGTGAGCTAAAATACTGTTCTTTTCTGTTGTGTTTGTTTTGTATTTCTTCACATAACAAATCTAAATTGGGCAAGAAGCGATAGGTGATTATTCCATCATCTTCCTTTGGTTGGACACAAACATTTTCCACATTTGTCCGTAATGGATTTTCAGTGCCTTTGGCATTCAGTTAGTTCATTCAGGACTTACCTTGGGGAACGTTGGTCTGTCTTGGAGTATATAGGTAAAGTCACTTCTGAGAGGCTTTGTGCGCCATGTTCTTGCTATAGGGATGATTTGTTCAGGATTGTATTGCTCTGGCAAGGCATTTTACTTGGAGAAGTTGGGGTTAAAACTCATTTATTCATTCAGTTATAAGAGTGTTCTTACTGTGTACCATGTGCCAAGCTGGCCTTTGGGAATGTAGAGGTGAGTATGATATGGCCCCTCTCAGTGGGGAAGACATACATTCACATACAGTATAATGTGTTCACAGTGTGTGATCGGTGGTAGACTTGAAGGTGTGAATACAGTGCTTAGAGTTTCACAGTGGAGAATGGCTAATGCCACCTGAGAGATTTGGTAGAGACTTCACACAGGAGATGATATCTGAGCAGCATTTTTAAGGTTAAGTAGGCAGTGACTAAGATGCAGAGGCATTCCAAGCATATCAAGCATGGGCCTAGAGTCAGGAAAGGGCACGGTGTGGTTATGGAACAATGAGAAATCTAGTGTGGGTAGGGAGTAGAAAAGAGCAAGGTGGAGCAAGACTGTGAGTGCCCCCCGGCAACTTGCCACGGGGTTAAGATGGTCTGCAGTCACTAGGAAGCAGAGTTCTTAGAGAAGTGACATCATGGGATCCATGGGGTTCTGTTTGTTTTTTTATGAGGTGAAGGCTCTTGGCATTGTAGGAGAAAGATAGGAATAGGAAGAATCTGGAGTCTGTTCAGAGACTGATAGAATTGTCATGGAAGGGAATTATGAGCATCTCAACTAAAGTAATGGCAGTAGAGATAGAGGAAAGGAAGAATGTAAGGAATTTGAGGCAAAGGCAGTACTGGTTGACTAGTCACTACATTGTTAAGAGAGAAGAAGAGGAGGTGATGAGAGGGCCCAGGTTTTCATGTCTCTCCTCTGTTACAGGGTGGGTGGTGGATGTCATTCATGGAGAGAGCAACTGCAAAGGATATGCAGCTTTGGAGGAGATGATGAATTTATTTTGTAGATGTTAGGGTGCTTTACGACATCCAGTAGACAACTCTTGCAACAGGTTAGTTTGGAGGTAGGAGATGTACATGTTTAATAAGCATGATGCCCCAATGGCTGCTGTCAGTTAGGCTGAGGGTGGAGCATATTTGAATAAAGGAACAGGGTGGAATCTGGGGCAGGGAGTGGATGGTGGTATGAGGGAGATGAAGAAAATAGCCATGAAAAAAGAAGGAAGACCAATAGGGAATAGTGACCTATGAATAGGGACAGGAGAAATTCCAGAACAGATGAACAGGGTCAAATGGTTTGAAGAGTTTAAAGAGAAGATGGGCTAATTAAATGCATGGGGCATTGATATGACTGTTGGAGGTGTAGTTGTACCTCTGAGTGAAAGCTGGTAAGGTGAAATATGACAAGCAATTCACTTTACCATGAGTAGGATTGAAGGAAGGATTAGTTTGGTTGATTGTTGGGGTTATGAGAGAGTGTTACATCCTGTGTGTGGGGGTTACCCTTAAATAAGAGAGAAGGACACTTCTTTCTCTGAGATGAAGGCGGGGAGGAGAGGAGAATGGTGTTTTTTTTGTTAAATCTAGAAGTAGGAATATTCAGCAAGCTTGTGCTTTTCTGGGTAAGTAGAAGGTGATGTTGGGGGCAGAGTAATCATAGTTGAATTTGAGCACTAATTTGTGCTGGGCTGTGTGCTGTCTACTTTATATATGTTACTGTCTTTTGGCTTTTATTCTCCCCCCATATATATTATTAAACCCACGTTAGAGGTAAAGAAAGGGGGTTCAGAGAAGTTATAAAACTTACCCAGAGTCACATACTTGATAGGTGTTGGATCCAGGGTTTGGGCTCACTTGGCTTGATTCCATCATCCTTTAACTGAAGGGAGGAGAAGGAAGTGTGAGGTAGAGATGTTAGGATTTGATGCAGCCACCTTGGAGAGAGTAGACACAGGTTTTCAGATACGCTTGGCGAAAGATAAGCGAGGAATTGGTAACTTGCAGAGTTTCAAATTTGGTCTCTCCTGTCCCTCTGTGGAAGTGACTTGACAATAGGGCTGATTGGTATTGGTAAAATAGAAGGTTAAAATTTGGGTTCTTTCGGTACACCTCTGCAGCATAACCTGTTGTTACATTATAAATCGTGGCAGACTTTACAGGCTTTAGCTGACCGGTGTAACCCATCTGACCAAATAAGATTGGAATTTGACAGAAAAGCAAAATGACACCATTAGTTTAGCATACTCCAGAGCCAGAATTCCAAAGAGAAGCAGTGCTTAGACCAGTAGCAAAAGTACAACCAAAAATCTCTTAATGGCAAGTTTTGCCATGTGATTTCTGGGTAGCTTCATGACTCTGATCATATTAACATTATGTTAAAAATAATACTGATACTGGGGCACCTGAGTGGCTTAGTCTGTTGATGGTCTGACTCTTGGTTTCAGCTCAGGTCATGATCTCATGGTTCGCGGGTTTGAGCCTGTGTCAGGCTCTGCTCTAAGAGTGTGGAGCCTGCTTGAGATTCTCTCATTCACTCACTCGCTCACTCTCTCTTTTTCTCTCTCTGCCCCTCCCCTGCTCTTGCTCTCTCGCTCTCAAAATAAACAAACATAAAAAAATTATTGATACTGTTCATTTACATTTATTGTCAAAGATTTTTAGAATTTAATTACATTTAACACCTGGCATGTGCATCACCTTAAAACTAAATGAACTCTCACCTTAAAAAAAAACAACGTAGACGTTTGTTTCAGCAGCTTGGAAGAGTCTAGAGAGAAGGAGTCTTCTGTCTTGACACTTGATTTTCCCAGCTTCAGCTTATTGTTTTCTTCATTTATTTGGCACATTTATATCACCTACCATGTGCACTGTTCTAAAAAATGGGGATACAGTAGTGAACAAGACAAAGCTTATATCCAAGTGAATAGACCGTAAATGAGTAATACAGTATTGTGAATATACTATTACTATCATAATGTAGTGTAGTTGTGAAATGCTATCATCTACAAAGAAAGCAGAGTAAGGAGGTGGAATATGAGAGTGGTGGTTTTGTAGGTAGTGTGGTCAGAGGTTTCATTTGAGCAGACTTGATTAAGGATAGGGATGGAGTCACTGAGAAACAAGGCAAGAGAATACCAAGGACATGACAGGATCCTGCGGACATGGTCTAGGAGCTGGAAGAAGGCCTGTGTGACTGAAGGACAGTGATTTCACAGAGGAAGCCAGGGCTGCATTACGAAGGGCCTTACAGGCTGTGCTGAAGACTTTGCACAGTTGTGGTTTATATGTTTACTGAATTAATCCCGATTTGATGAAGTGATTAAAGTGATTAGGTTTGGCCAGTTGTACTTACACTATTGTATTATTTTTTACTTTATAGGATGGAACAAAGTTCATCTGTATTGGGGCTCTATATTCTGAGCTTCTGGCTGTCAGCAGTAAAGGAGAACTTTATCAGTGGAAGTGGAGTGAATCTGAGCCTTACAGAAATGCACAGGTATTTTATATTAAGCTTTCATCGAATGGTTCTATATGTCAACATACAAAATAGTGATCATTTTTCTTGTGCTTTCTAAGAATCCTTCACTGCATCATCCACGAGCGACATTTCTGGGGCTAACCAATGAGAAGATAGTCCTGCTGTCTGCAAATAGCATAAGAGCAACTGTAGCTACAGAAAATAACAAGGTAGGAAATACTTTGCATTCGTTGAGAAACATTTCATGCTTCAGTTCTTGGTTTTCTTCCTCTCCCTCTGCCCCTTTTCCATCTTTTAATTTTCTCTCTTTCTAAATCCACAACTTCAAAGCATCTCAAGCCTAAAGAGAGTAATCCAGTATATAATCTTTTTGTTGCTGGTTTATCCCTATATTATAATCCAACTTTAGAGGTGGCTTTTTCCCTTAAGGAAAGGACAAAATATTTGAGATAAGTGCTAACAAAAGCTGTCCGAGATGGATTGGGGAAGTATGTGGGTATTTTGCCTTGGATTCTCTTTGGCTTTAGAGTCACTAAATTTTTTTTTTTTTTTTTTTTTTTTTTTTTTTTTTTTTTTTTTTTAGTTTATTTATTTTGAGAGCGAGAGAGCGTGGGGGAGGGGCAGAGAGAGAGGGAGAACTCAAGCAGGCCCTGTGCTGTCAGTGCATGAAACTGTGAGATCATGAAACTCATGAAACTGCCATCATGACCTGAGCCCAAATCAAGAGTTGAACGCTTAATTTATTGAGCCACCCAGATGCCCCTAGAGTCACTAAATACTTTTTAAAATTGTTGTAGCAAATGTTTACTTTTGATTAATTTCTTTGAGATGGCTTTAGACGATCATTTCAATAACTGCTACTTCAATTTATTTGTGTAAGGAAAGTATTTTAGATTCTTAATTAAGAACCTTTTCTGAATTACTTATTTTTCTGGCATTTAGCTCAAAACATTTTAGAATTGTAGTCCGTAGAGTATGTATGTTGTTTCCTAGTTTTGACCACAGTCCTTTCTTATTTATTTAAGCCTCTAATATTTTACTCTTTAGGTTGCTACATGGGTAGATGAAACTTTAAGTTCTGTGGCTTCTAAATTAGAGCACACTGCACAGACTTACTCAGAACTTCAAGGTGAACGGATTGTTTCTTTACATTGCTGTGCCCTTTACACCTGTGCCCAGCTAGAGAACAATTTATATTGGTGGTGAGTAACACAGGGAGGGGGAATTCCTTATCAGTGAATGCTTTTATGTGCATAGATAGGTGCTTTGAGAAGTGGAATACCAACATGAGAAGGTTGGTCAAAAGATAATGCTTTGTAGAGAGGGAAATTTCACTTTGGAACAAAGTAACATTAAAAAAACTTATAAAAGTAACACATACTTTAGTGACTGTAATTATGGAATTTTACAAAAGTATAAAGTGGAAACAAAAATTACCTATCATCCTGCAACCTGAAGGTAACTACTGTTAGCAGTTGGAAGTATTTTAAATCTTTCTTTCCTATACATAAATACGTACTTTGCTTTTACATAATTGGAAACCTAGGCTATCGGGTATTTTTTATGCTTTTTCATTTAACAGTATTACTTAAAATATAATTAAATACAAAATATAATTACAGTATTTCGTTGGATGTATATTTTGTGTCTTCCTTTATTCCTTTACTATTAGGGACTTTAAAGTGTATTTTTTCTGTTGTGTTTTAAGGAGTTTAGTAAATCTGCATTGGCAGAAATAATATGTAGGGGAATCTACTAATGAAATAAAATTATTTGGAAGAAAATTTCAGGTGATCAATTTTCTATAAAATTTTAATCCCTAAAGGTTTTTTTTTTTTTTTTCAACGTTTATTTATTTTTGGGAATTCCCTAAAGGTTTAATAAAAACAGGACCAGTTATGTATTAAAGCTATGCTCAAGTTATGATTAAGAATAAGTTGTAAATACAACAAACAAAAATATTACATGTAATTTCAGATTAATAGGCTTCTTTGCTGCTTGCTTGACCAATTTATACTTTTTCTTTTCAGGGGTGTAGTCCCTTTTAGTCAAAGGAAAAAAATGTTAGAGAAGGCTAGAGCCAAAAATAAAAAGCCCAAATCTAGTGCTGGTATTTCTTCAATGCCGAACATCACTGTGGGTACCCAGGTAAGTGATTAGGGGATGTTGTTACTCTTCAAAATCACTTTCTTCCTCTTTAATTAATTCCCTTCTAAGCAGTTTTATAAATGAATGTTATTTGAAGGACCAGGTTCCAATAGCATGTATATGCTTTTTTATTCAATAGTTGAGTGACATGGAGATTCTGCCCCAGTGTCACAGTAGGTTTCCTTATGGGGCAGGGTTCCCAGATTTGCCTAATTTTAAGAATCATTTGGTACTTGAATGCAAGAGTGTGGAGCTCCTGGGACGTTCCTTCAGTTTGTCTGGTGGTAAGGCCTGGGGTTGATTATGTTAACAAGCATCCCAGGTGATAAACAGCCAGGCAGTTTTTGAAAGATCCTGCTCTTGGGGATGTTGTCAGCATAGGGCAGGAGGCTTCCTCAGATCTGTTTCCACCAGAGATGGATTCCACTCTGAGATGGTTTTAGGCTTCTATGTTATAGAAGGTGATTTTTCTAATACCTCAGTGGATCAAATTGTGGTTGGTTCAAGGACTTCTGGCTCCTCCATTCTTTCAGGGAGTCTGCAGAGCCCTTTCTTTTCTTTCCATTTACATATCTGTGAAGCTGAATTGTCTGCATACACTTAAGTCTAAGTAACTATCACAACAGATTGAATGCAGAAGCAGACGTGGGAATCGAACTGTCTTCCATTAAATCGAACATTAAGAGATTTGCAAAAATGTAAACAGTGCCACTTTTCTTGCTATTTTTTTTGAAAATCAGTTTTTTATAAAATTGTTTATATTAACATGACATTTATTACTGTGAAGTATTTAAAAATTTCTCAATTTTAATTACTAATACATTAAATACCAGCTAGATAGGACCCAAATAAACAAAATATTTTTGGGTCCTCAGTAATATTTAACAGGGAAAAAGGGCTCTGATACCAGAATAGTTTGAGAACTGTTGTTGTTCTTTTCATTCATTATCTTGAGGATAGTTTATCTTGAGGATAAAAACTGGTGTATATTCTAGCAAGCACTACAATGACTATTTTGTAAGATCTAGGAAATACAAAATATAAGTTATCCCACCTTGTAGTGATAAGGAAAAGAAAAATTCAAAGTGCAAGATGACACATCGTGTAATAAAAACTACCGTTTGTCTAAGTGCGAGGGATTATAAAGTGCTTAAAGAGTTACTACTTCATTTGTTACTTTTCAACAAAACCCAGCTTATACGTACCCGTTTTGTGTTTGTGCCTCTATGTTGTTGTTGTTGTTGTTCTTCTTCTTGTCGTCGTCGTTGTTTGGTCCTAGTCATGGTTGTCTTATTCTGACTTATTTCTTGCTTGGCCTCCCAATTGGGAAGTGTTTAGTGATTACCCATTATTTTGAATATTCTTCTTCAGCCTTCATTATTTATTTCAGTTGGTTTGGACAGGAGCTTCAAAGAGCTCCCCTTTTCCTGGTTAGTCCAATTACTGATTTCTGTTGTTCTTAAAGTTTCTTGTTCACTGGACTCACTTAATAGCAAGATATCCTCGCATTTGCCTTATTAGCATGGAGGATGATGTTGCTACAGAGAGAGACAGCAGAAAAAAACACTTTAAAGGTGCACTGAAGAAAATTTTTAAACGAAATAGCTTGGAACTAAATTGCTAAGAGATAGGTATATTAAAATATTTTGGTATAGAACTAAGATTTTATTGTAAAGCTGTGGAAAACTAGAGATTTAAGATAGTCATAGCCACAGAATAAGGAAAGCCTTCGTGTGTTAACTGTTGATTACTTAGAATTATCAGCTACACCTACACTCTGAGATCATAATGTTGAGAATGATGTATTTAGCAGTTATCCATTGACATGTCTCGTTATATGCTGGACCCCAAATACACACCACCTTGTCTTTAAGGTGATTTATTTTTTATAAGAAGGCACTAATAAATAACCTCCTATCTTCTAATCTTACCACATTTCTCTTTAAAATACAGCCTTCTTTCTTATTGATCCTCTTTCAGACTGTAAGCTTTCACCAGTCTTCTCTGAAAATTTGTGGGTGAAACTTCCCTTTAAGTCACAGCTAAGCAGGACATACCTTTTTCCAGAAGTCAGCTCTTCATGAACTGTACATTCTAAGCCACAGATCTATATTTAGTGACGCATAACTGTCTGATGGAACTGCAACTCTGCTCCAGGATTTCCAGTTGTGATACTACTCAAATGTATCAGCGTCTTCTGTGTCACTTACAGTTAATTATAAACCACCACATGATCTTCGTATGTGCCACTGTCAAGGACAGCATAATACTTCATTACTGGGTGACTGAACAGAATGTCCATGAGATTGAGCTGTGGGAGAACTCAAAAGAGATGTCCAGAAATAATCTTTCTCTCTCATTTGGAGCTATTCTTGGTGTGTTTGACGGTGCCATCTTGCGGGTTATTGCTTTCAGAGTATATGACCTGAGGGAGCTCCTCGGCAGTGAGAAGTTGCAGGTTATTTACTCCTGCACTCAATTAACTTCTAACATTGACATCAACACACTCTTTTTTAACGTAAGAGAAAACTTATGTTATCCAGTGAAGCTTTTGGTTTGTAGAAAACAAGTCTTCTGGGGGAAAGAAACCCCCATAGAGATGAAGTTTATAGAGCCTGTATAATACATAGCATCGTGAATTAGGAAAGTCATTTCAGATGTTAAGAAACTGACAGAATGTGTAATTATTTTCTTATTTTTTTAATGACAATCTTTAAAAAAAGTTCTTTGCTATTTCTATTCTGTTTCTTTATAGCAGAATGGTCAGGATATTTGTTGCATGAAATTTGTTAGGTTGTATGAATTTTTTTTTTTAATGTTTATTTTGAGAGAGAGCATGTGCATGTGAGCCAGGGAGGGGCAGAGAGAGAGAGAGAGAGGGAGAGAGAGAGAGAATCCCAAGCAGGGATTCGATTCTGCAGGCTCTGCACTGTTAGCACAGAACTCACATCGATCTCATGAGCTGTGAGATCATGATCTGAGTTGAAGTCAGGAGTCAGTCACTTAACTGACTGAGCCACCTAGGCAGCCCTTTTGCATGAAATTTTAAAGTTTTTTTTTTTTTTTTTTTTTTTTTTTTTTTTTTTTTAACAAATGTGCTAAAATAATTACTGCTCCTTAATTTTGGGAACAAATTCTTGATAGAGATAATGCTTTTAAGACAATGCTTTAAGAGCCTTATTTGATTGTGTAAGATTGTTTTTGGAAAACCTAGGAAATAATACTTTTATGTGTTGTATTTTTATGCATTTGGAACAACTCTTCTAGTTTTGAAAATGTCATCTTGATGATTTTTTTTTTTGTTTGCTAGGTGTGCTTAAGGAATAATCCTCTTTATCATGCTGGAGCAGTTGCATTTTCAATTAGTGCTGGGATTCCTAAAGTTGGTGTCTTAATGGAGTCGGTTTGGAATATGAATGATAGCTGTAGATTTCAACTAAGATCTCCAGAGAGCTTGAAAAGCATGGACAAAGCTAGCAAAACTACTGAAGCTAAGTAAGTACTGTACTGTAATGAATCGTGATTTTACACCAGTTTCTAGTTTGCTATGTATACGAGAGGGGTAGTCAAGGCAGACTTAGAGGTGTGCAGTGACCTAGAAAATTGCTACCGTGGTGAGGTCTTGTGAAGATGCCCAGAAGTTTTGCAAGGAATTGGTAAAGTTTACTGTTTGCCACTTGGTTAATATTTGTATATTATAGTTGTTCTTGATGTTCAGCAGCTAGAATGACCATATATATAGAGTTCTCTTTTGATATCTTTGTTTTGTCATTAGAGTGTGTCCTTTGCCATTACTGTGTGGAAGAAGAATATGTTTAGCCTTATCTCTATCAGGCCATCTTTGCCCTCCTCTCTCCCTGTGTAATTATCTTAATTTCTACCTAATGTCTTAACTGCATCTTGATCCTTGAAAGGATTTTATAAGTTAACATTCTGGAGAGGGAAGTTCTGTAAAGGATTTGCAGACTTTCGGGGTGGAGGGATACATGAACAGAGTTACCACTGAATTGTGTGGAGCCCGCATACAGAGGCTGGCTTATTGTTTGCGAGTCAAGTATATAGTTACTTAACACCTGTACTTTTAGAAGCATCTATAAGTATTTGTGTGTGGTATAATTTGGTTGTTTGGTACATGAACTTCAAACCTTTAATAAAGTTTATAAGTAACTTTTTTTTCTTAATCTTATAAAAATATGTAACCATTATAGAAACATAGATGAGTAATAGCATCACATTCCAGAAACAACATTTTAATATTTTGGTGTCTTTTTTTTTTTTTTTTTAATTTAACAGGCATTAAAAAGAAATGGGGATTGTACTATACATCTAAGTTTTTGAAATGCTGAAATTTGTTTGCTCAAATGAGTGTAATGATTGTAAATTTACTACCTTTTTTGCTATTTCTCTTAATGTTAAAAATCCAAGTTGTAATTAAGAAAACACAGGGATTACTGTCAGAGAAAGACAAATATCGTATGATTTCACTCATATGTGGAGTTTAAGAAACCCAACAGGTGAACATAGGGAAAGGGAAGGAAAAATAAGATAAAAACATAGGGAGGCAAACCATAAGAGACTTGTAAAGACAGAGAACAAACAGTGTTGCTGGAGGGGAGGTGGGTGGGGGAATGGGCTAAACAGGTGATGGGCATTAAGGAGGGTACCTGTTGGAATGAGCACTGGGTGTGACACTAACACTAATGAATGAATGAATCACTGGGTTCTGTTCCTGAAACCAAGACTATACTGTGTGTTAACTAACTTGAATTTAAATAAGTTAATTAAAATTAAAAAAATGGATGACTACTAAATAAGTTAAAGAAATACTCTTTAATAAAGCAACGCTACTGTAATTTATGCCACATTAAGGCTTTTTTGCTTTGTTGTCGTGATCTCTCTCTCACCGTCCCTGTCTTGTTATACATAATAGATTTATAGACTTCCTCTGTAATTACATTGATTTTTATCCTAAAAATAAAAGTGACAAAACACATTTTCATTTTTTATGAAATTTTGTAAAGAGTGATTGAAATGTTTTTGATGTGCACAAATATAAATGAGTTTATATTTAACACATAGAATATGCTACTGGAATTGTGTAATTTATAAAGTTTTTCAGTATCTTCCTTGAAATTTGCCATCTATATGAATAAACTTAGTAAAAGAGCTTATTGAAATTTAGTGTTAAGAACATAGTCATTTTCATGTGAAAGACTCTTCTTTGCTAAGTGTTGAGATGCGTTCACTTTAATGGCATGCTAGTGATTAGTCAGTATCAGCCTGTTTCCACCATCACAAGATTTGCAGAGCAGCCATGAGTGTTCACGTGTACTTGTACTAAGCACTTCGCCAAGATGCTGGTGAAAATGATACTGGTTTACTGTGGACTGTTTCTAAACTCAGGTGAAATTCCTGGTGGGGATAATAGACGAGGGGGTTAAGATGATGGCCTTGATAACAATATTTATAACAGATTTCTTAGTAATAGGTGACTTTTCTGACTAAAAATTGACTTCTGCCTTTTAAGGACTAAGATATATGTGTGTGTGTGTGTGTGTGTGTGTGTGTGTATTTTTTAATCATCTGTAGAATATTGTATAGTTGCTGACTGTAGTTATCTTCCTAGGTATAATGAAAGAATTCAGTGACAAAGGATAGTTTATTCTGTAATTTCTCAGTTAGGTTACAACAGGTGATGGTTCTTCATCAGATGGTTCAAGAATAAATTTTTGTAAACCATGCGAGTTGAGTTCCTTTTTTGAACTCTTAAGAAATTAATGATAGATCTAGTTGGTATTTTATTTATTTTCCTTTACCATTTCTCAATTAAATTGCTATGTCCAAGTCAGGGTTTACGAAGTGTGAAACTTGTTTGCTCAAGAGCTTGTAATAATTGAGTGTAGTTTTTGTTGTTATTCATAGATAAAGCTTATCTGAATCATTGTTCAAAGTTGTTGATAGCTTTATATGGTGTAGTTTTCTTTCCTTTCTTTTAAAAATATTACTAAGAATTTGAAGTATGCACCGTGTACCTTTTTCAGTACCTGGAGTCCTAGAAATAGACCATTTTGTACAAGTTTTAATATTTCATTCCCTTATAAGAATAAACTTGATTCTAAAAAATAAACCATCTGACAAGTTCTAATATTTCATTTTCCTAATAATGAGACTCTTATTTCTAATCTCAGGCCTGAAAGTAAGCAGGAACCAGTGAAAACGGAAATGGGTCCCCCGCCATCTCCGGCCTCCACATGCAGTGACGCGTCCTCAATCGCCAGCAGCGCATCAATGCCATATAGTAAGTTTTATGTGTAGTGTACGTTGGTCAAAGTAAGGTCCCAGGCAGAGAGCTGGGTGCAGTCTGTTTATGATTTGAGGCAACTTCTACCATTTTCAGTATTTTTTTGTATAAATTTTGTTTCTAATAGTTAGATTTTATGTGTATGAGCAGTTTTATTTAAATGAAAAAATAGTATTTACAGTGTTGCCTATTCCTGTTGTTTTTTAGAGTTCTATTGAGTTTATAATTTGTAAAATGCATTGCAGTGATAGTGGGAAATAACTGCCACTAATTAGAATATTTTCCCACCTTTGTGGAGACTGTTTTTAGTATAAATTGGTTATGGCTTGGTCCCAACTTGTGCTCAGAATTTGCAATTTATAAACCTAGACTCACTACTGCACATTGGATTTAAGGAGGTTTTTGAACGGTCCTCAAAATAAATTTATAGTGTATTTGCTTTGCCCTTGAGGAAGTTGAAACTTAATAATTACATGATAGTTTTAAAAACAGACCAACAGGTCTTTTTTTTTTTTTTTTTTT